AAGCACAACTGAATAAAGTTATCCTGTGAGCACAAGAGCCACCAAAAAAGACAATGCAGCCACAACCATTAGCCCATGCTAGCATTGGTGTGATATGCTGGCATTAGTGATAGCAGTATTTGCTGAATAAATTCATAATATCAGTAACAGCAAGTTAACTTTTGTTATTACACTACTGTAGCTGGTCACTAATAAAAACAGACATGTAACATTATGAACCCATCAAGTTACTTGCAACCAGTTTCGACCTTGGTCCATGGTCGGACTGGGAAAGAAATTCAGCCTTGGACTGATCTGCTGGAAACGGCCACATGAATGACAGAAACACAGATAGGGCCGGTAAAGATGTTTTGACAGTCGACTGGCTGACCGGGATTTGAGCCAATAGTCCCCATGGCGCTTTCGCCTGTGCTCTGGTCTGTAATGTATTTGCCAGAAAATGTGGTTCTTCAGTGGGGAATAATTCAGCAAGGTCTCTTTCACCTGAATGCTGCGTATTGTACTGTGCCATCTCGCGTGTGGGCGGTCCCCGGGTCTTTATAAAAGTGTGCACTAACATACACGCATCACCGTCCTGGATTTCTACACAAAGAACAGAGAAACTCCACCATATCCTTACATGGAAAATAGTTGTTTCCTGCTATATTGTTGTTTAAAATCTGGTATGTAACCTTCTATTAGTGACAGCTGATATGACCTCCTGGTGGCTACGTTTATTATCTCTCTGTTACTGTCTCTGCCCAAATGATTTTTACACCACACACTAATTTTCACTTGGATATGCAGTGTAATTCTGCAGTGTGGAGCCAGCTGTGGTAAAGGAGAGCAGCACTCTAACACAAGCCGGCTGAGCTGAACAAACAAAACACTGGACAGACAGAAAGAACTGGAATTTGGTTGGTTTTATTTTGACTGATTCTGATACTTGTAACAAAGATTTTAATCATGTGTAAAATGTAAAATGTGCACAAACATCTTCATGAAGGCAACAATATTTACTATGATAGGGAAAGCTTATGACTAAATCTTAATTGGCACTAAAATTGCTCCTGTGACCTTGTCAACAGTCATAACTGTCTCATTCAACACAAGCCCTTTACGCTCTCTCCCTCTCACACCCTCTCTCTCTGTCTATGAGTTTTCCAGAACACATAGATTATAAAATGGGGCAGGAATGAGCCAAGCTCTATTTTTGTATCAAGATCAACCATTTCCTGTTGTTACATACAGGTACCGAAGCTGAGATTTATGTCTGTGGCAAGGCAGCAGTGGACTTCCTCTGCTTGTTTACAGAGCTTGATTACTATGTGTGTGTGTGTGTGTGTGTGTGTGTGTAGAGGGAGGGCGTGAGAGAGGGATTCAAAGGGGATCTGTGAGTTATTCAGGAGAAAACAATAATCATCAGGAAGCAGCAGAAGAGGTAGAATATGCAAGAAGATGAGAAAATAGCTCGGGGGAAGCGACTAGTCATTCTGTCAGTCACCTCAGCTTCTCTGAGAGTGACAGCGACGCGCTTATTTATCATAAATGAAACCATTCCTTGTCGGTGTCACATACTCTCTTAGCATGCTTTTAAATGTAAAAGCAAATATGAACACGCTCTTAGAGCACAAAGATGTGTATAAAGGGCCATATCGTGCCACCTGCACTCCCTCCTACACCAGCAAATTAGTACATCAGAGACACTATAGAGAATGATATGGGGTCATAAAATCAAACATGCATGATATTATATGAGTAGACAGCTGTTGTGCACCACCTATATCGAGTCATTCCTCAGCTGTGTGTGTGTGTGTGTGTGTGTGTGTGTGTGTGTGTGTGTGTGTGTGTGTGTGTGTGTGTGTGTGTGTGTGTCAGAGAGAGGAAACTCTCTGAAAGAGGTCAGTGTGGGATTCAGTGCAGCTATTGACTGCAGCTGAGGAAATCCCTTCTCTTCGCTGTTCACAGAGGCAAGGCACCAAAGTCTAATGCATGCTAATCAGGGGCTCAGAAGATAATAGGAGATGGCGTATTTGCCATAATTCAAGATTTAACTCACATATACAAACAATGCTCTCTCCTTTACATCTCATATGCATAAAACCACTCGTGCATTCACTGCTTTTATATATAATTTTTTCATACGTTCTCTTGAAAGCAACACAAAAATAACAAAGAAAGAGACAAATATACAACATATTTAGCTCACATCACTGACAAATCTTTAGGTGTCCAGGAAACTGCACAATAATAACATCCTCTTTTATATTTCATTTTCATTTATGCTCCACAAATGAGTGTGTGAGTGATCCCATGTAGATATGCTGTATACAAGGTAAGGAAATAATGACAACAAAGGGATAAAAATCTGGAAGAATTTTCAAATATACATAATCTAACTTATTGTAGGTGGCATGGCCCCAAAGATTTCTGGTGAGATGATGGGTTTGAGGTGTAAAGATGAACCACTTTCAGAGCCTGGTCACTGTTATTTATACCAACATGTGTTTAACTTTATTACCCGTGTGCTGTTATCTTTTACAGAACTGGATAGATAACAATGACAGCCACAGTGAGGTGTGAATAGTCAAAACTTCACATAATAACCATGTATTATTAACCATGCAGCCATGGTAACGTGATCTGACACCGATCATGTGTAAACAGTGTGATGTGATCAGACCACACACTCTGAAACTGACACTAACTCTGTCCACGGCGCTGATTGAACTGACCATCCTGAAAGATTCATCAGCTGCTGAGATGAGCTTCAATGCTTCTTTGATAAAAATAAATTAGTGGTTTTCCATTGTGGTTCATGGTAAAGTTACCACCCAATGTTACAAGCGCTGTCCAAGGTGCTGATCAGTCTGTGCATCCTTGAACCTGTGACCTGCTCTGTCCATAGTACTGAATGGACTGCTCGCTGGAACTAGCAGGAAGTAAACATGTGCTCTTGAGGACAATGCCTGTGGTAAATATTACTGCCTGTCTCCTGATTTTACATTGTAGATTTTGTCTAACTTGCAAATTTACTGAATAAAGCTCTTTTGGGTAATTGCTTGATACTCCTCTGACACTTTATTAGGCATAATTGAAATTATACTTAAGAGCTAATGAAGTGCTTTGCAGCATTGAATAAATTAGACAAAACAAGTCGTGATACTAACACTCTCTCATGGGTATTACACTTCAAAGAGTTCTCTGTCTCGTCTCACCCCCTGCTACTGCTTCACATCTCTGTTTCCTACCTTTGTAAAATGATCTATTTGATTGGAAAGTCACATGGAACTGGAGTTTAATTTATGCTAATGTAATAAATCAATCAGAGCAGTTTTAACCTGCAACTGATTTGCTCCATTTCTCTATTTTTTTGCAACATCAGAGGCTCATTGACCCAGTGATTCAACATCTCATACTTTAGTTAATTACTAAAACTTAAACCAGGCTTAAACATTAACCATAAAACAAAACCAACATATATACACCATAATGTGTATTAAAGCCTAGAGTTCTTCCAATACTGATGTTAGTGTCAGATATACTGCCTAAAATAAATGAATTGGGTATCTGCGAGTCTCTGCATCGATCTGACACTCAATAAACTTTATTTTTCACAAAGGACCAGATAAAACAGCCGTTTTCCTGGAAGTCAATTCTTCTTTGCTGTTCTACAACAGTAGCCTACACAGGAAGTTGCACTGTGCAGCCATTGGCGACTCCTGTTGTAGAGTGGCTAAGAAGAATTGATTTCTGTTAAATAGTGTAACATTAGCTGTTAGCAAAACATTGGCAATTTGGCAATATGTTACACTGGAAAGTCCCATCAGTAAAAAGCCAATGCCTACAGTATGCAAGGCTTTAATATGGAGGGGTGGCACTAGTGTTGAGACATATTTAGACATATTTTTTTTTTTTATGACTGACAGTAAAACCAGATAATAAATGAAAGATTCTATGGCATTTTACAGTTTACCCTCAGCCATACAACAGTAATCATATCACCTCCATACAGGGTGAGTAGTATACAGAAGATTTTTTAAATACAATGGTGTTGGATCAGTACTCTGTATCAATACACAAGGATCTGGTATGTAAAAATTGGTATTGGGACATCTCAAGTAAAGCCTCTGAAAACTTGAGTTCAACTGATTTTTATTCAAATGCTGCTAAATCCTGATTGTTCTACAGAGGTACATGACATCACATTTTTCCAGTTGAACCGTGACCAGTTCAGACCAGTGAGAAGAGCACAGAGGACAAACATTGAGAGAAACCAGTGTGTTCATGTAGGTTCCCATCACTCAGATTAAGAAGGTGATGGAGAAAACCCACAATCTGTCAGCACTTCCTGCAGTCAAGATTCTCCGACAGTCCCAGACGTGTTCAAGTTTTACACCCACTCCGTATCCATTCCTCCCTCCTTGTCTTTCCAGTACTAATTGGAATACTCATGCAGGTCTGGCAGGATGTCACTCTAGCTTTCACTCCCCGTCTCTCTGTGGATCACCTTTCTCTCAAACGTTCATGTACACCTGCACACAAAACCAAAACATGCTGCACCTTTCACCCTTCCTAACAGTCCATTAACTAACTCTGCTCACTCTGCTCACCTTGGTACTGCCTATGCTACAGCAATGAGGTATATACACAGCACATTCTGTATATAGGCCTACACATACTGTAGCTTATGTTAAACTGGTGAAATACTGCTCTGTGTGGCAGCTACTGACACTTCTTCCTGACACTGTTCTCCTATCATCCGTATTATTTTGAAATAGGAGAGGCACTACTGTACACTGGAGTCCAGCTGACAGACAGCTGATCCTGAATAGTGCAGATATCAAGACCAAGCAGAGGAAAACATGAGGACTATATCCCAACCTGAATACTTAGATTAACCAAAACCATATCATATGTGCAACTTTACTGAGATCTGGTGTCATAGCAACATATTTGTATAAGATGGTGGTTGAAATATGAAAATTGGTTTCTTCTGTACAGTAAATACACATACATACCGAGGTGTAGAGGTATCCGTCACTATTCATGGCAAGGTACAACCCTGTTTTTGCCCCCTGGATTGCCACAATCCGCAGTCCCACTGGAATTAAATTGAACTGTGCTAAATTGGGGAATAAAGTAGAAAGGAGGGAGACAGAGTGTGACAAAGAGAGAGAGAGAGAGAGAAAAGAGAAAGTCAGAGAAGATTGTGAAATTAAACTGTAATACTGACAGAATGAGCGTCTATGTCTTCAGAGGTGCAAAGGCTGAACAGCTGCAGTATCACTGCTGCATGCTGTAGCTCTCTTCAGCCCAGATTCTGTGACCTCTCAGAGTTCATGTTTATATAAACACAATGTCATGTCACCTCCAATGTGCTTTACTCTGTCTCTAAGCCAGCTTAATAATGGAGATGTTCTGTCACACCAAATAGAGTTTAGAGCAAGACAGTTAAAAGTGAGCAGGTAGATGCAGTAACTGGACTCATCATATAATAATGTTGGTGGTTGAATGAATAAAAATTTAAAATTCTGCCACATTCAAGCTACAGTTTGAGAAAAGGCTTGTGTCTGGAAGGTCAAATAGACAACATGAAGAAATGATACTAGGAAGAGAACACTGCATAGTTTCTGATCTGAAAACCAAATTTAGATTGTTAAAGGTCAGGATGAACATTCACCTCGTCTATTTAGAGGCAGTTTAAACCTTTCTCTTGGGTTTATAAACTAGAGACTAAATTACAGATGCACTGATTCTGAATTCTGATTTTTTTTAAACATCTGTCCTGCTGATTCTGATTTTCCTTCTCAGAACTTTAATTGACAGCTACACAAACATTTTATTACTTTTCTTTAATGGACAATTCAATTGTATGTTCATGATAAAAACATTGACAATATGAAATAAACGTAGGTGAAGGTCTCACTCTCTCTCTCTCTCTCTGTCTCTCTCTCTCTTTCTCTCTCTCTCTCTCTCTCTCTCTGAACGAGGGTAAACAAAAATCTTGACTGCTTTCTGGTTGCAACTCTTTACTTTTCACACTGCTCATCAACATTGGATGATGATGATTACTGATGGCCATTAGCGAGGTTGTGGATCAGGTGAGGTCAGCGGTGTGGCGCCACCTTTGGCTGCTTTAGCCTTTGCTAGCTTCTTGAAATTGCAGCGCAGGAGTGTAAATTTGAGCGATACAGAATCGGATATATGAGACTGATCGGCCCATCACTGATCAAAGCCGATCACAATGAAAACCGGACTTTCCCGATCACCAGCTGATTGATCTCTACTTCAAACACTGAGTTACAGATCCAATCAGAATTATTATCTGGTGTTCAACAGCACAGATGGATGTTAGTGACGAACGCCTTTGTGGAGCAGTTTGACAGGCTGTTTGTTGTGATGTTCCTTCCTGTCTCAAGACAAATATAATATAAATTGGAACAAATTTGACAGATGAGCAGACAAAATCCTAATTTCTGCTGCAGGGACTTTTAGCACAGTGAGACACCGACTGTGGGACTGTTAGCTCACTGCGTACAGTTCAGCATTAACTTTGCCAGAGTTGGAGATTTGGCTCCCAGTGAGGGAATCAGCTGTTCCACACTTAAGCTGAAAACTGCAGGTGTTCTTCGACTCAGTTCCTCTGACTGGTGCTACATACTAGACTGTGAATAATTTGACTAAAATTACACAACATGACCAGGAGCAAAGACATGTAGGCTTTAGACAAAAACACACACTCACAAAATGAGCTGCTTTCATCCCTTGTGCTGTCCATGGTACCGTCAGGCTGCATCTGCAGGTAGTATCCATGTTGGCTGTATAGCCGGGTAACGATGCCTTTCAGCTGTGGCTCTGCGAGGGAGCACAGGAGAACAACATTGTATTTGACAGGAACCGTGGCGAGATGTCAAGAGCAGAAATCATGTTCACTGATTTACAGGACCTGAAAAAGGAATGGGTTAGAGAACGATGTCAGAGTTCAAAGACACTAAGCGCAGAGGAGTTTTACTGTGTGCAGTGTTTGAAATTACAACATAGTTATATGAAATATCTAAAACTTGAACTAGATTTTTTTAGGCTGAGTATGAGATGGTTTGCATTGAAATTTATACAAAATTTAATTTTAACCAATTTGCTACTAGGGCTGTATGAAATGAAAAATTTTGGCAGATATTGTGATTTCAGTTAGAAATGTTTTCATTTCCTTTTTCACTGAAAAGATTTTTGTACCAAACAATCATGTTCCTTTACGTCTGGAGAATATGATTTGTAGGCCGGAGCGTCTCTGTAGCGTCTCAGCGCTTATGGTGCTGACATAGAACAACAATGTTGAGACACTTTTTACTTTTATCAAAGAAATTGCAGCTCCTGTTATTTGGATATTGCACTTGGCCATATTGTGATTTCGATTATGTTTTGGATTAATTGTGCAGCTCTATGAGCTACAAAACTAATGACATCATCAACTAGCCAATTAACCAACATTAGCATGCTAATGCTCTAAACTAAGATAGTGACATATACCTGCTATAAACATCATGTTAGCATTGTCATTGTGAGTATGTTAGCATGCTGATGCTACCATTTAGCACAAAGCAGTGCAATGCTTGAGTAGAACCTTATAGAGCCTTAGTACAGTGAGTGTGGACGTATCATACCATCAGGCAGTGTTACACTGATCTTGAAACATTACACACAAATGTTGTGAACTCACACTGTCAGTGTAAGGTATGGTAATATGTAGTACCTTACTTTAGGTGCTGCTCTTTCATCTCAAGGATATAAATAACAAAAGCACAAACTGCCTCACAAATCAAAGTCACATGAAAGGCATCAGTGTAGCGGCTTATGGGAGTTTTACCGGGAGGGAAGGTGCCTGGCAGAACAGATGATGATTGATCTCTGTTTGCTATTTATGTTGTTTATTTCTTGTTAGAAGTTACAGATTTCTTTCTAGAGGCGGCAAAATATACAAAATTCTAAGCACAAAAATGAGAGTTTAGGTTTTCAGTATTCAATAACGGTCTTTTTGTTAATTAGTGAATTGCCCGTGGTAGATTTTTCTGGGCTAATTCATTTAAGCCTTGGGCTGTATAACATACAATAACATAAATATACAACTAAGTGATGAATAAAATGCATCTATCACTTAAGCAAATGCATCCGTCCACAGTCTTGCCACCCAGTAGTATTTTTAGCTGTGGCCACCAGAGGATGAAGTCAAGTGAGAGAGTAAGTCTGTCTCCCACTAAATAAAAGATATATAATCAGGGGGCCGGGGGGTGGAGGAAAGGATGGAGGGTGAGGAGACAGGTTGAATGTTTCATGAGCGGAGTCCCTGCAGTCTACTTTGCGTTCATTTGAGAAACAGACAGAATCTTTGCAGCAGCTGTCGGTGCCGCCCCGTACCCTATAGCCTGTACCCCTGCGTATACAGTATGTTGGAAGTTTTCTCCTGAGCTCTGCAACTCGCCACCTCCTCGGCCAGGCTACAGGAGAACCCTGCGAGTCCCCTGACTTAGTGTAAAGCTCAGTCACTTAGTCTGGTCAGGCCCAGTGAAGTGACACAGCTCCTTAAAGCATTAATAAGGGGAATGAAACATGGATGAAGGAGCAGTTTATAAGAGAGCCTCTGGAGGAGGGAGGGCCACCCGGGAGTTCCTCCTCTGCTAAACTCCATCCATGCCCTCACATACACACCTCAGGGAAGGACCCAGGGCACTGCGCAATCTGCCTGTCTTCTCGGACTAGCACAAGAGCAAGAGAGTGGCAGAGGATGGAGGAATAAGATCTGTAGGACTATTTCCCAAAGGAAGTGTGCCAGGGTTGAAACATCAGTGAAACTGTGACCTACTCCCATTGTTACATACATGCATCTTCAGCACTCCCCATCCTCTCTCTTTCAAAGCTGCTTGTCAAAACATTTCAGGATCTCTGCCCGTGCAGTTTCTTTTTCTTTTCTCCCTTTTTCCATTTCATATTCTTTGAGTTATGTACGCTTTCATCTCACCCAATAACATCATACATCATCCAATCAGAGCAGGGAAGCCGTTCATTACTTGTCCCCACAGATGCAAAAGAGAGAGATGAGAGAGAGAGAAAGAAAGGGAAATGGGAGGATCAGGGAGGAGAGAAGTGAGCAGGGGGACGGCGAGGGAACAGTGAATGAGATGACACTGTCATTTCATTAAGAGTGACGGCTGTACGTGCTCGAGAAAAACACATTCAGCCAGAAATTCAATAGACAGCTCTTGCAATATGGCTGCAATCAAAACTCCCTTGCTCGGTGTCAGAGACACTAAAACTAATGTTTCACTTAGCAGAGCTGGCTCCAACTTCAAGATCCTCATCCCAACACCAACGCAGTAAATTCAGATCCAGTATAATGAAAGTGTGCTCCCAGCAAACCGTCGTGTTTTACTGCGGCTGCATCAGATTCATAGATGATAAAACAAAAAACTCCTCCTCTGTGGACTGTTGCCACCTTATTACCATACAAATATTACATGTGTCAGTGTGTGTGTCTGTGTGTAAGTGTGTGTTTCAGTGTGTGTCAGTGTGTGTCAGTGTGTGTATCTGTGTGTAAGTGTGTGTGTCAGTGTGGGTGTCTGTGTGTAAGTGTGTGTGTTAGTGTGTGTGTCAGTGTGTGTGTGTCTTTGTGTCAGTGCGTGTGTAAGTGTGTGTGTCGGTGTGTGTGTGTTTCGGTGTGTGTGTCTGTGTGGCTCCTGTTATTTGGATATTGCACTGTGTGTGTGTGTTTCGGTGTGTGTGTCTGTGTGTAAGTGTGTGTAAGTGTCTGTCAGTGTGTGTGTCAGTGTGTGTGTCAGTGTGTGTGTTAGTGTGTGTGTCAGTGTGTGTGTCGGTGTGTGTGTATTACTCTAGTAATTTATACATTAAGCTCACACATGTTTTACAACTGAAACTAAATTATGGAGTTGTTGAAGTTGTGGGAGAGAAGACTTGGTCATCACTATGATTAGAGCAGAACCAGCTAGTCTATTAATTGAATTCACTTATCAAAAAATAAATAAATCGGTTATCTATTTTAAAAATTGATTTTGAGCTGTAATGATTAGCTGACCGCCGGAAAATGAATCTGAAACTATTTTGACAATAAAAAAACCCCATGACAAACAGCTTCCTAAATAGGAAGATTTGGTTCTTTTCAGTGTCACACTTTCTTATAAACTGAATATCTTTGGATTTTGGACGAAACAAGACATTTGACGATGTCACCTTGGACTGTTGGAAATGATACTATTTAGACAGAGCAATTAATTCTTTAGTTGATTAAATGATTGATAAATAAATAACAAATAATTGTTAGTTGCATCCCTAAATTGATTCTTCAGTCATTTTTCAAAAAAAAAATAGTGACAAATTCTCTCTGGTCCTCAAATGAAATGAAAAGCTTTTCTTGTGTATAACTGTAAATTAAACAAAACAACATGTTTGAAGACGTCCTTGGATTTTGAGAGGTTGTGACGAGTACTGTTTTTTAACATTTCTCACACTACATGACTAAAGGAATTCTAGGTTAATCAGGAAAATAATCTGCAGATAAATTGAGAATAAAAGCAATCATTATTTGCAGCCCTAACTGTGACCAACACAGCAGCAATAACACTGAACATGTCGTGTTGACTTTCTTGACTTGAATATTTTTACAAATGTGCTGGAGGAGATTAATGATGACATCATACTGTATGACTGACTTAATAATAAGTCATTATTGGTTTTGGTTTGGGCAGGCAGGTCCGTAGGGTCATGATTTTCTGCCAGAGATGTGTGTAAAGTTTTTAAAGTTATTTTTGCCTTTCTGTCCATGTGTTTACATCTGTTGTAAACTTCTGAGGCTGTTTTCTGGCTCTAATAATTCAGCGCAGCAACAAGGCTTTTAACGACATGCAAATGAACAAAACTGTGCATAATCATAACACTGACTCAACTCGGTGTCATCAAATAGCAGAGATGCACTACATCCCCATGCGTATTCTGCCAACTGCTCCCCTCTCACTATCTTGACAGCATCTGTGTCTGCATAATGTGTGTACACACACACACACACACACCAGACTCCATTTTTTTCTGTCTTTGTAGTTAATGTTGCAGTATGTTGGCATCAGGAGTGTATACATCAAGGCTTCAACAAACATGTCATATTGTTGCCTGAGTAGCATAACCCTTTCATCATCTTCATTCATTCATCATCAAATACAGAGTGGAGTGGCGTACACATCACACAGAACAAACACACGTCTGCCAAGGTCAGATTTGTCTTTTGAAGGAGTTAAAGGTTTGAAAATACAAATATCTTCTATAAACAAGACCCAGTGAACCTGGGTTTCCCCTCCCTTCACAAATTAATGTGAAATCAGGTGTCCAAGGATTTACATTTACATGTCGAACGTTTCATACATGATACTTGAACAGTATGTGGATTATGATGTCTTTATATTAATCACCTTTGGCAATATCCAAAATTAATATCTTGATACAGTCCCGCTCAAATATGTTGATATACAATATTATTGCATTGTTTTTTTTTTTAAACTGGGGGGTGGGGTTTAATAATATAATATTATTGTATTTTATGTTTCATGTTAAATTTTGTATATGTTTTGACTAATATTTGGAGGGAAATATTGCAATATTCTATATTATCAAATATCAGCCCAAGCTTACATCCTAGGGTGGCGCCGACCAAAGATTTTACAAGTCGACTGATAGTGTTAGTTGAAACCATTAGTCGACTATTCATTGCATGTTTATGATTTATTTAATTATCTAAATATATATTTTTGGAGGGCACCAGAAATATCAGTTTCAGAAGTGCATGCATGAAGAAAGCC